TTGCTAATTAAATTCCCATAAAACATAATGTTGATGTTTAGTAGAACTGCTAATTAAATTCCCATACATGATATTGTTGATGTTTGAAAGAAATGTAATTAAATTCACATAAACCATAATGTTGATGTTTGGCAGAATTGATAATTAAATTCCCATACACAATAATGTTGATGTTTGGCAGAAAAGCTAATTAAGTTAACATAAACCATAATGTTCATGTTTATTAGAGCTGCTATTTAAATTCCCAAAGACCATAATGTTAATGCTTGGTCAAATTGCTAATTAAATTTCCATAGATCATAATGTTGATGCATGGCAGAATTGCTAATTAAATGCCTGTAAACCATAATATTGATGTTTGGTAGGATTGCTAATTAAATTCCCATAGATGATATTGTTGATGTTTCGCAAAACTGGTAATTAAATTCTCATCAACCATATTGTTAAAGTTTAATAGAACTGCTAATTAAATTCGCATAGATGATGTCGTTGTTTGGTACAATTGCTAATTAAATTCCCATAGAAGATAATGTTGATGTTTGGTACAATTGCTAATTAAATTCCTATAGCCCATATTGTTGATGTTTGGCGGAACTGCTAATGAAATTCCCATAACCTATAATGTTAATGTTTAATATAACTGCTAATTAAATTCCCATCGATGATAATGTTGATGTTTGGTAGAATTTCTAATTAATTTCACATAGAATATAATGTTAGTGTTTAGATGAACTGCAAGGTAAATTCCCATAGATGATAATTTCATGTTTGGTAGAATTGCTAAATAAATTCTCATAAACCATAATGTTGATGTTTAGTAGAACTTCTAATTAAATTCCCATAGAAGATAATGTTGATGTTTGGTAGAATTGCTAATTAAATTACCATAAACCATAATGTTGATATTTAGTAGAACTCCTAATTAAATTCCTATAAATGATCATGTTTATGTTTGGTAGAATTGCTAATTAAATTCCCGTGGACAAAAATTTCATGTTTGGCGGATTTGCCAATTAAATTTCCATAAACCATAATGTTGATGTTGAGTGGAACTGCTAATTAAATTCCCATAGATGATAATGTTGATGTTTGACAGAATTGCTAATTAAATTCCCATAACTTATAATGTTGATGCTTAGTTGAACTATTAATTAAATTCCCTTAGATGATAATGTTGATGTTTAGTAGAACTGCTATTTAAATTCCCATAGACCATAATGTTGATGTTTGGCAGAATTGCTAATTAAATTCCCATAACTTATAATGTTGATGCTTAGTTGAACTATTAATTAAATTCCCTTAGATGATAATGCTGATGTTTAGTAGAACTGCTAATTAAATTCCCATAGACCATATCGTTGATGTTTGGCATAATTGCTAATTAAATTCCCATAAACCATAATGTTGATGTTTAGTAGAACTGTTGATTAAATTCCCATATATGATAATGTTGCTGTTTGGTAGAATTGCTAATTAAATTCCGATAAACAATAATGTTGATGAAGAAGAGCTGCTGATTAAATTCCCATATATGATAATGTTGATGTGTAGTATAATTGCTAATTAAATTCACATAGACCATAATGTTGATGTTTGGCAGATTTGCCAATTAAATTCCCATAAACGATGATATTGATGTTTCATAGAATTTCTAACTAAATTCTCATAGACCATAATGTTGATGGGTTTTTTTTCAGAATTGCTAATTTATTTCCCATAGACCATAACATTGATGTTTAGCAGAATTGAGAATTAAATTCCCATAGATCATTATGTTGTTGTTTGGCAGAATTGCTTATTATATTCCCATAACTTATAATGTTGAAGTTTAGTTCAACTACTAATTAAATTCCCATAGATGATAATGTTGATGTTTGGTACAACTGATATTTAAATTCCCATTGACCATAATGTTGATGTTTGGCAGAATTGCTAATTAAATTCCCATAAACCATAATGTTGATGTTTAGTAGAACTGCTAATTAAATTCCTATAGATGATAATGTTGATGTTTGATAGAATTGCTAATTAAATTCCCATAGACCATAGTGTTGATGTTTGACAGAATTTCTAATTAAATTCCCATAAACCATGATGTTGATGTACTGCTAATTAAATTTCCATAGATGATAATGTTGATGTTTGGTTGAATTGCTAATTAAATTCCCATAAACCATAATGTTGATGTTTAGTAGAACGGCTAATTAAATTCCTAATGATGATAATGTTGATGTTTGATAAAATTGCTAATTAAATTCCCATAGACCATAATGTTGATGTTTGGCAAAATTTCTGATTAAATTCCCATAAACCATAATGTTGATTTTTAGAAGAACTGCTAATTAAATTCCCATAAATGATAATGTTGATATTTGGTAGAATTGCTAATTAAATTCCATTACACCACAATATTGATGTTTAGCAAATTTGCTATTTAAATTCCCATAAATGATAATGTTGATGTTTGATAGAACTGCTAATTAAATTCCCATAGAGCATAATGTTGATGTTTAGTAGAACTTCTGATTAAATTCCCATAGACAAAAAGGGTAATGTTTGGTAGATTTGCTAATTAAATTCCCATGGACCATAATGTTGATAATTGGCAGAATTGCTAATTACATTCCCATAAACCATAATTTTGATGTTTAGTAGAACTGCTAATTAAATTCTTATAGACGATAATGTTGATGTTTGACAGAATTACTAGTAAGATCCCATCAACTATAATATTGATGTTTGGCAGTAATGATATATTTTACTGGTAAGATCAGCAAATCACACTTAGATCCTATGAAGAAAGAGGAAATAATCAGTAACTTCATCACATGATCTAATTGCATTATAAGGGATAAAATGGATATTTCAAAGTGATTTTAGTCAGTGATAATTCAAACCTTCAATCTCAAAGGTATTTTTGTTGTTGCCAGTTTGATTTTAATTTTTTGTTTTTCGGAATTAATAATTTATTTACCATAAAAATTACTTATTAGAATTCTTGAATAAAGACATTGACGTTAAATTATCTGGAATTCTAAAGTTGGAATATTATTCTTGGTTATTCTACAAGGAACCGTTGAAACGACAACACAAAAAGGTTATAGAAGACGTCATCCATCTTAAAACTTCATCAGGAATTTAGTGATTGGACTTATATTTTTAATTATTGAATTATTTTTCGAATTTGATCCATAAGCCACAAGTCCTTTTTCATATTTTACCTTGTTTTAGAGAGAAATAAATTATATTGCTAAATTGTACAAAGCTTGTTGGCTTCACTCTTTTCTTTGTTACTTTTGTATGAGCCTAAACACGTAACATAGGTGTGCAGTGACTGCAATGTAAAATAATAGCTGATCTTAAAAAACATATTTTTATCACATATCAGACACACATGACTCTTAAAGGGTGAACTTTTAACTAAATTGTGTACCTTGACAGCATCCTCTGACAATACGGGCTCGTTTATTCAAGCACATTAATTTTAAGGACATATCACTCAAGAAAAAGCTTGGAATTTTTAATAATTTAAATAATAAATTTTAACCTTGTTTTAAGGATTTTACATGTTACTTTTATATACAATTTACATAATTTTAGCATCTTTACATTTTAGTGTTTGTCCTCCACTTAATTATACATTTATTTGAAAGATTTTATCTTCATTATATCACTGTATCAAGTTTTGTATCATCTGTATTTTAGGTGCTCAAGTTTAAAGGAGAACAGCTATCGCACAGCTTGTTTTCACTGTTCAAAATACTATTCAAATGTTATTTGAGAAAAATAGAATGTTCCGCTAACATTGTCACAACCATTCTCAGCTATTTAAAACCAACAACATATTACTCCACCAGCTATAACAGTCATTGCTGCTGCTGTCTTTTTTGAATACCAGTAGCTGAAACAAATATAAGTAGTATTTTTCATCCATGTTTGATTTTTTGTGAATGAATTAGGCTGCCTTTTCTACATTCACTCCTACAGCACTAGTTCCTGTACACCCAACTGAAACTTTTGCCAAAACTTGGGTATAGATGGTGGAACAGTTGATATAGTTTTACCTATAAAGGGTAAAAATGGTGGCAATTGCTATTCCTTTATCTTTGAGCAATCTTTTTAACTTTTTTGCTTAATGGTCATTTATATTCAACTTTCCAGAGGTTTTTTATATTATTTCATCAATTTATTTTTTTACTTGACCCAAAGTTCCAGTTTTTGTCATAGCAATAGAGTAAGGTGCTAACATTATTTTGGTTACCCTCTGTAAAAATGTGTTTTCTGCAGACTTCATGGCAATGTTGTATTTTTACATCAACTTTTAAGGATACTGGTTATTGACCTGAAGAGCTATGCTACTTTGACCTTTTGCCTTTCATTCATCATATGTCCCTTTTTAGTATTAATGGATTGTCATATCACCAGTGAGTTTCACAACAAGATTTATGCTGTCTAGTTGGTACTGAATCTCAATAGAACTAGGGACCCCAGTGGTCTACAGCACTCACCATTATGAATCACTGTCATCTCACCTTTTTTCTGTATGGGTTAGTGTCTAAGATTCAGAAAATGTTGTGACTACTCGTCTTGCATGAATTGGAAAATTTATATGGGGATTTTCAGTAAACCACTTCCTGTAATAACATTCTGTATGAAGTCTGTGCTGATCCAAACATCAACATATCTGCCAGAGTTATGGGCTACTTAACATGTTCTATTACAGGGGTAGACAAACAAAATGCAGCCCACTGACCTTTGACCTGGTTTTATCCCTCAATTGTATCAAAGGATGTGGCTTTAAAAATCACTTATGCAGACCTCACCCTGGAAGAAGTTGCCCACACCTGTTCTTTGCAGTTTTCTTCCAAGGAGAATGTTTTCATGGCTAACTTTTGCCTAAGATTACAGGTTGTAAACATATTTACATAAAAAGAGTTCAGGGTCACTCATATTTACAGTTAGACTAATGGAAATCTTCACATTCCATTACATTATAAATTGACCAATCTGATGGCCTAGCAGTTAGAGCATCTGCCTCAAATGTAGGTGGCCCTGGGTTCAAACCCCAGCTAAGTCATAACAAAGACTTATAAAAATGGTACTAATCACTGCCTCGCTTGGTGCTCAGTTCTAAGAGGTTATTGTTAGGACTGGTCAGTCTGGTGTCAAGAAAGTGTGACTGGGTGGGACGTGATGCTACATGTCTGTAACATGATGTTCCAGTGCTAAATATCACTATAAACAGCCACACAAAACCATAGTGATATGATTAATTTTTTTTAAAGCTACATTAAAAATCCAGATTGTACATAGATCAAAGAAAACTGTGCATAAATAGGGATTTGATAACAAATAATTTATTCCAGTTTAAGATCATTATGTTGCATATCATTCAAGAGGAATTATTTCTTTAAAATATTCATCGGAATTACTAAAGTGCTGTCTTACTTTTAAATTTATATGCATTACTTTGGGATTATTGTGAACTCATTCAGAAACATTCTGGACTGCATTGTTATTCTTTATCAGGATATTCAAGAACATTGAAATTAATTCAGAACATTCTATAGTTCAAGCAAATCCCCACCACCATCACTGACAATGGACTTGGATTTATTAAACTCACATACTGCACATATTTCCTTTCTCTTGCATATAACATTTAATTCCACAAAACCAGTTGGATTTAATCAGATACCTCTATTTTGCACATAGATACTCTAAAATTGTATGTGGTATGAAATTTTTGCAAAATCAATTAAATTAAGCAACATTAAGATGTGGAATATATTTCTGGCATTTATAGATGAAATTGTACCAGCATTAGTAAAAATGCTGTATACCAGTAGTTTTCATATGTACCTTAAGAAAATAAAACTGCTGTTTTAATGCATTAATTTAACCCAGCAAACAAAACAACTGTATTAATGAAAAATAATTTTAAATAATTTGTAATTTTAATATTCCTCCAAAACATTGTTTAGAGATAAATCAATGGTAAAAAGAACTTTGTAATTGTTAATTGTGTTAAAAACCTAATGAAACAAGTGTTAGACAGCACTGGAAATGTATCATATATTATCCAAGATTATATAATCCATTTGTTAAATACTAGCAATCGTTCATATTAAAAAGTGAACTTAATTTATACATCGAAAAAGAAATATGATGGACTTGTTTCTTTTTCAAGATATCAAAGAATTAACAGAATAAGGACAAGCACTTCTCAATCTCTATTAAACCATATGTGATATGCATTTTAGGTGCTTAAGTACAAAACTAATTAAACAATTTGTTTCTACTGTTCAAGACACTGTAAAAAAATTGGAAAAATAAATTTAGATTAAAAGTTATGACTTGGTTGAAACCATGACAACAGCATTTTAGCAGTTTAGCAGTAAGATTCAGATTCTATTATAGTTAGACTATAATATGTAGTTGGTGACTCATTTACCAAGCAGTATGGTGATGAAAATATCAAGTAAAATTTAATGACAACTGACAAAAGTTATCAGATTCATTTGTTCTTATAAATATCAGTGCTAAAGAATATAATACTAGCAGGTGATAAAAGGTCTTAAATGGCTTGCAGAATGGCAGAAAATGAAGAGAATAACACTAATTAGAATCATTCAGACTAGTCTACAATCACATGACCATGCCTACAATAGGATCAAATACAACACTTATAACTACAAATAATATATTCGAAGATAAAAAAGATATTGGTCATAAATAAATGTTTATAATTATCTATTTGACTGCAGGAGCTGATGTAATTTGCATGTACTTTATGAAATGGATTGATGAGCTGGTTAATAGTTGAACATTTGTTACTTTTGTATTAAAATATAACTTATTGCAATTGTACTGAATAAGATAATTGATGCAGTAATTTACAAAATGGTAGTATCAGCAATCAACGAAACAACTCTTTGGAATGTTTCATGCCACCTTTAAAATCACCAACAAACAAATAAGCGCTGATCACCACCACCACCTCCTACTACCATTATTCTGTTTACAAAATGGCGGTAATCTGTTTACAAAATGGTTGTATTCTGTTTACAAAATTTGCTTTAGTTACACCAAGTTGCTGCTATCATTCCATCTATAAATCAGTAGCAATTTGTACGCCTTTTTCTATGAACATTTATAAACCTTTCACCTAATGGTAACTTTTCTCTAACTTTGAGGTTTAAAAAAATGGCAACAAAATTTTACATATCTGCTTGATATTGAAGTAGCTAAATCCAATATTTGTGTTCTTTTGATTTCAGTTTTTTTTACAAGTTTTTGTTATTTAGCTTTTTATCTGCATTTTTTCAACAATATTTTGTATATCATTGCCAAATTAATCAATACCTATTTTCATTACTTCATTTTTAAAGAAACTACTTAAACTATATTTGTACTGCTCCTTAATTCTTATTCTTTTTGCAGCATACCTAATGTAGGTGTCTCACTATCAATTCTTTCATAGTATTCTAATAAAGTCTCTGCTTCTTTAACTTGCTTGTTAAATGGTTCATTTATGTTCATTACTTTCATTTCTGATTTCTCAGGAACTCGTAAACTTGCAAAATGTTAACACGAAGTTCAGAAGCCAAAACAAATTTATTTTTAAAGAAGAGCAAATAGTTTTGACTAAGAGAAGTGACATTTAAAGCACCCTACTTGTGACATCATCAGCTCAAGCAACATTTATTATTTGAAAGATGGTGTCAGAGAGAATTTTCAAATCAAGGAACTTAAAAAAAATAAAACTGCATGAGTAATCAGATATGGTGCAGCAAATTGGCAATATTAAAATAAAGAATATCTATCCATATTATAAATCAGCAGTACAATGAATAGGCTAGCTTCTTAAAAAAGGAATAGCATGCAGAAAACAATATATTTACCTAGCAGTATTTTATTCCTCTCTTACAGTAAGTTACAGTATGCCTTTGATAAGGTATATAATTTTTAAATTGATTCTCCAGTTAATATGGCTAGAAATGTTATTAATAGTTATTCTCACTTATTTGAGTAAGTTTATGTTTGACTATCTAATGGCACAACTAATTTTACCAGACAGAAGATGGAAGTAAATAATATGGCAATAATTTCAATTGTTAGAGAAATACCTAATTACATTGTTGAAAAATTTCGTCTAATTTATTTAAGAACAATTTAGCTTAAGAGCCAGGCAATACAGAGGTGTAAGAAATAAGTATATCACAAAGTATTTGTTTTGTTTTGCTTTCTTGTTTTGTCTTTGATTTTTTTTCTGGGTTTCTTTTGTGGAGTGCTTTGTTTTGCTTCTTATATTTTTCATTTTGAAGTGATTTCATTGCAAGTTTATTTCCAGTTTTGTGAATGCACGGTTGGGAGTTTTAGATAATACGTGACTTGTTATTGCACTATATTTTACATATTTTGTGCAACTTTCCCATGGTTTGTTGGACAAGCTTTCAAAGACAATTTATTATACAATGAGGATGAAAATTTTTTAAAAAAATACTTTTGAAATCCGATTGATAGCACAGGTTTTAAGTTATAAATTATATGACAGAATAGATTTTGTACTCGATTATTATCGTATTTAAAATTATCCCAAAATGATATATTCTATTTCTTAAGTTATAAATATGAAACCAATACTAGTTAGACAATATTATTATTTGCTAGTAAGACAATGTTATTATACTGAATTTCAGAAACATAAAAATATTGTATAGTAATTACGGTTTATATAAAACAACTAGTTATAAATTATATGGTTTTCGTGGTGATATATCTATAAATACATCTGCCAAATGAAATGCAATTTGTAATTTTTGAAGCCTAACAACATTTTCCTTGATCAAGTAAACAACACAATGAATTATTGAAAGTGCTACTACTCAACACAATCCCTACTATTTAAAATATATTTCACATTAATTTTATATTATATTACCTCAATAGTCCATATAAGCAATTAAAAGGAGGCAATTGAAGCAGATTAAATATCAGCATTAAATATGAAGACTCAAAAATAAAAATTTAATTGTATGCCAATTACATATATCAATAATATATTTCTAACAAAGTAGTTTGCTTTGTATAGTTGTTTGCTTTGTATAGTTTGCGCACAGTATTTAATCTCGTATGCAGTATGTAAGTTAAGGGATAAATTTTCATGTTAAATAAAAGAAATATATTTAAGCCATCCTGGTGATTTTAGTTTTATTTATTCAGAAAAATACGTGCTAATGGCCAAATGCGTAAAAAAAAATTGAAAAGATATCAAAAGATGGAGTAGGATCCGGGTAACAGAGTGATCTAAAGTGCTCGCCTTTGCTGATCACTGCAACAAAAAAAAGACTCCGTCAGATTGAGTCTTACTCTAGGCCACGTGGGAATGTAAGGAAGCTTGCCAGTGACTTCCCGAAGGGTCTGTGGTTCATATCTGGGTTTTCCCGATTTCTTCCTCCACCAATTATACTGGCCGCCATTTATAGCCTCTCACTCACTGAAAATGGCATTAAACACAAAAGAACAAAACGGAGAACACAAGCTAATAAAATAATTAACCGATGTAAATAGGACTGTACAAACTACTTATATATATATAACTACTTATATATATATATATATATAACTACTTATATATATATATATATATATATATATATATATATATATATAAGATACAAAACGGATTGAAAACGCTGTTGATTTCTCTATCATGTTCAGCTGTGGAGGGAAGTGATATACAAATGAAACAAGAATAAAATCAATGAAAAAATTAAAAACTGACATGAAAACTGAAAAATCATCTAGATGATTATAATAATTTCTGAGATACACTAAGGAAACAATTAAACGAAGAGTAGAAAACAGAATGATATTTTTAAAGATTTTGTATACAGATAAAATGTTCAAGGAGAAACGTAATTGCTAATGCAAACAATTTATCAGTTACAGATCAAGGCTGACTTTAAAGAAGTCGAGAGAAGGATATTAGACTTACTTCATATGGTTATTGTAAGTGAAAGTCCAATTAGATTTATGCAAACTACTTGGGGTTAATCTATTTCCTCTGAAGTA